CCGAGTCCTCTAATCACATCTTCATCCACTGTAGTTTTTCTCATCAGTTATGGGAAATGGCTTGGTCTTGCTTTGGTGTTTGTTCTTGCCTGCCTGAATTAGTCCTTCAGCTTTTGCAAGGGTGGACTCTCAAGGGTTTGAGTGCAAGGGGCAAGCTTCTTTGGAGAATTTTTCCAACTGCCATCTTGTGGGCTGTTTGGAAGGAAAGGAACTGCCGAATTTTTGATAGAAAATGTTCTGATTTAACTTCAGCTAAGAACAAAATTACAGGCCCTGTGTTCTTGGTTAAGTGTACAAACGGCTTTCAATGGTGTCCAGCTTTTATCTATTGTGCAAGCTGGACCCTTTTTTCATGATTTCTCAGGTCTTTTTGTATATTCCCAATGTACAGTCTCATTGTACATGGGCTGATGTATTTGGTTTCTTTCTTTTCCAATATAATACCTTACCTTCAAAAAAAAGAAAATACTTTGAGCATTTAGGAAGAAGGAATGCTAGAATCTTTAAAGAGAAAAGTCATAGTGAAAATGCATTAATTGAAAATATAACATTAATTGTGGCACCTTGGCTGAAGTCCAAGGAAGTCTTCTCACCTATTTCAGTTGATTGTATCATTAGAAGTTGGTTTTTGGTGGCTACATCTTCCCTGGCTAGGATTCCTCATATTCATCCTTGGTTCCCCTGAGTAGGGGTGTTAATTGGACTGGATTTGGTCCAATCCGATCAAGTCCAATGTAAGTCCATCACAAATGGACCAGGTCCAATCCAATCCAATGAATATTTTGGACCGATCCAATCTGTTCAAATTTGTTTTAATTTAGATTAATTCTAACCCAAACCTGGTCCATCGACACCTATGTTCTTATCTTCTATCAACGAACCAGATATTGGCTCAATCCAAACCAATCCAATATAAATTCATTATGGATGGACCAGGTCCAATCCAATCCAATCCATTAAATACTTTGGACCACTAAGTCTGGACTGGTCCAATTCAATGTCTTGTTGGTCCGTCCAATCCATCCAAATTGATTTTTGTTTGGATGGGGTCCAATCCAAAACCAGCCCATTGACAGCCCTACCCCCGAGCTCTAATACTATAAAGCTAAACTTTGATGGGTGCAATATGGGGAATATTGGAAGGTTCATAATAAGGGGGGTCTTTAGGAATAGTGAGGGAATCATTTTGGCTTTGTAGTTAGACCCATTGGACATGGGATTTCCACTAGGCTGAACTGATGACACTTCTGCACGAGCTGAGGTTTTCGAAATCCCTGGGATACAAAAATTTAGGTTGTTTTTGGTACCATTACTGTTTCTTCCTGAAACGTTTGGGTTGGTCAATACAAATTGGCATACAACAGTTATTTGTGGCTGTTTATACTTTATAGTTGAAACATGCATGCCTTAAAAATGCGTGTAGGAGGCTGTTTTTAGAAATGTCAAGTTGATGTTTCTTGCTCGGGGGGGCCGGGGGGGGGGATGCAATCAGGATGGGTTCTTGGAAATACAGATACATGATGAGGGAAATTAAGGATTTGCTGCAGATCTGAGAATGAAGTACAAAAGAACTCCAAGGTTTGCAATGGATTGGTAAATGGGCTAGCTAGACAAGGTGCAAAAAGAGCTCAGTTGTATTGGTTCATCATAAATTAGGTACTAAAGAGGGAAAAATAGAATATATAATAATATAAACTTCCAATGATGAAAGAAAGAAAAAAACTGTGATTTATATCATGATAGATGCATTAAGGAGGAAGATCAAAGAGTCTTGATAAAAGATGAAGATATTAAGGAAAAATGGAAAAACTATTTTGAAAAGTTCCTAAAAGAACATATAGAAGGTGCTAGTTGGGGAGCGATTGATAACTCTATTGCCAAAGTTAAACGGTATCTCTGTAAAGTCAAAGTTTTTGAAGTGAGGGAGGCTTTAAATAAGATGAAAGGAAAGGTGTTAGGACCTGATGGTAAGCTATGAGAGGGGTAGACCTATTATGGCTAACTAAACTATTTATTAAGATAAAAAACACAGAATATGGCATATGCATGGAGAAAGAGTACTATGATTTCTATATTTAAAAACAAAAGGCAATATATAGTTGTAATAATTGTCATAGGATAAACAAATTAGCCATGCTATGAAACTTTGGGAAATTGTAATTGAGCAGGGGTTACAACATGGACCAAATACATCCAAAAACCAATTTGGTTATATGTCAGGGAGATCAACCATGGTATCTATTCTTTTATTGAGATGATTGATATAAAAGTTGAGAGAGAAGAGAAGAGAATTGATCTTCATATGGTATTTGTTGATCTAGAGAAAGCATATTGTAAAGTTACTGGACAGAGATAGTGTGGTGGCTTTTGGGAAAGATGAAAGGGGTAGACCTATTATGGCTAACTAAACTTTTGGGAAAGATGAAAGAAAGGAATACCAAATGGGGATTTGGATTTAATTAAGGACATTTGTGAGGGTACAACAACCATTTTTAAACACCTGTTGGAGAGGCATCAGAGTTTCTAATTATGATGGGACTTCACCAAGGCTCAATACTTGGCCATTATTTATTTGCACTAGTCATTGGATGACTTGATTAAACATATTTAGGAGGTTCCATACTTCCATTGGTGCATGTTGTTCATTGATGACATAGTATTAATTGATGAAGCTAAATAAAGATTAAATGTAAAATTAGATTTATGGACAAATGCCTTAGAAACAAGAGGTTTTAAAATAAGCATGGCTAAAACAAAATAGATGCAATGCAAATTTAATAATAGTAGAACCAAAAATCAAGGCGCACTTTGGCACTTGGTATTGGTTAGTGGTTACCAAGGGATAACTCAATGTGATATCTTTTGTTACTTTGTTTCAATAATTCATCAGGAGGATGTTGCCCATATAATTAGAGTAGGATGGGCAAAGTGGAGCAATATGTTTAGAGTCTTATGTGACAGGAGAATACCACTTGGGCTAAAAAAGAAAATTTTATAAAATGGTTATAAGCCAGCACTATTGTATGAAGTAGAGTGTTGGGTAATCAATGAACATGTCCAAAAAATGAGTGTGGCAGAAATGCAAATATTGAGATGGATGAGTGGGAAAACTAGAAAGGATAGAATCAGAAAAGAGAACCTATTGGAAGAAACCTAGGAGTGTCTCTAATAGGTGATAAAATAAGGGAAAGCAGACTAAGATGGTTTGGGCATATTTAGAGAACATGTACTGTACCAGTAATAAGTAGTGATCTATTACAAGTTGAAGAGGCTAGAAGAGCTAGGGGCAGGCCCAAAAGGACATGGGTTGAACTATTAAGAAATAATTTAGGGGCCTGCAATTTAACAACAAATATGGTACTGAACAGGACAGAATGGTGGAACAGGATTCATGCCCATATAGTTGGGAAGGCTTAGATGACGACGACGATGAAGATAGCATGATGTATGCTGTTAAGCTATAAACAAATGAATGGGATGGCTGGTGTAGGTCAGGCCAACGTAAGTGGTGCTAGGTACAGTTAACAGTACTGTACGTATACCATTCTTTTTCAAAAAATCTAAAAGTTATCTAAAACAGACATTCAAACTAGACTAGCTTTGACCCTTTTGTGTGATTAATCCTGATCTTAATACAGACAAATTAGAAAATGACTTTAAAAAACAAAAACTGACAAAAAAATGAGATCACCCAAAATTACATAATTGCTATTATGGAGAAATTTGATTTCTTCTTCCAATGGTTTGCATCACATTATTTGGTTTGTTCTTGCTGTGCCAAAAACAGGCAGTGCTTTGGTATCAAGCGACTACTGCCTCAAATAGAGAATAGATTTATCTGTAATTAGTAGATGAGGAGGTTCCTCTTCCTGTCAGTAAGAATGGTATATATAGTGGATGATGGACAAGGACCAAGAAGGAATAAGGCCTTTATTTAGTTATGCCTTTACACTTTTTTTAGTGGATCCATGAATCCATACTCTCCATGAGAAGATTTCAAGTTTAATAATGGTATTAGCATTACATGCAAATTAATTGATAAAAGATGTGAAGTTGTTAAATCGAAGACTTATTTGATTGCATAGGTTGGATAGGTTAAGTAGAAACACGTATCCTTATATTTTGGAGTAAAGGTTGAATGAGGACACTGAAGTAGGAGATTGTTGATGTGGTGAACAGAATACAGCACAGTTTTTAGTTAATGATGCTGTTGAAGTTTTGAACTGAAGCTAATGGGTAAAGAACAAAACTCATTTTGGGGACCAGTCGTAATCATTAGGTGTATGCTATGTGGTTATGCATAACTTTTTATGCGACCATTTAATTCCTGTTTCCGTTATTGCCAATCAGTTATGTTGCATGAAAATTGAAATATGAAAAAAGAAGATTCAATTTCATCCACAATATATGAAAAAAGAAAGAAAACAATTTTTGGGGAATTTGATTTATTAGAATTTTGTCAAGCCCTGGAGCCTCCTCATAATCATATGGACCTGGATCCCTTCATACTGTTGTTCTTTGTTAAAATGCTAGCTGATGCTTAATGTTGTGCAGATGGGAAGTTTATAGAAAGAGAATGTCATAGAAGGTTAATTTGTGTATGAATCTGGATTCTGGTCTAGAATATGATCTACAGTGTCTAGATGTTGATTTGAGCAAGGATCTTCATTAAGATTCTAGTTTATTCATTTTTCTTCCTTTCTGTCTGTGCTTTTTTCTTTGCTGAGCCCTGCTTCTTTTCAATTGAAATTAGAACCTCTGTAATTAGATTCTCTTCAAGAAATGTAAATGTTTGTTATTTCCTTATGAAGAAGCAGATTATAGAGGTAAAGTGTTACTAATTATGTAATGAAGTTATTTATCTATTTACTGTGTTGAGAAGTCCAATCCTTAACATCCTTTTTCTTGGAATAGTTTCCTTGAACAAGCCTCATAATGTTGTTTTTAATGTTCATTGTCTCTATCTCTTACATTGTGCAATGGAAAATTCAATTTTTCAGATCATGTTCTCCATCGTATCAAGTTTACAGCAGTAGCCTTTGTTCTCCAATGAAATATTAATTGAATAAGATATAGGAACTTCATTATGTCTGGATTAATTGAAGGCCTCCCTGACGCAGTTGCTCTCCAATGCCTTGCACGAGTACCATTCTACCTCCATCCCAACTTGAAGCTAGTTTGCCGTTCATGGAGAGCTGCCCTTAGCAGCCCTGAGCTCTTCAAGGCCCGGCATGAGGTTGGGACATCAGAAGAGCTATTGTGTGTGTGTGCCTTTGAGCCTGAAAATTTGTGGCAGCTTTATGATCCTCTTAGAGAACTCTGGATGACCATTCCTGTACTACCCTCACAGATCAGGCATCTTGCATACTTTGGTGTTGTGTCTGTTGGGGGGAAACTGTTTGTGCTTGGTGGGGGCAGTGATGCTGTTGATCTATTGACAGGTGACCAGGATGGCATTTTTGCAACTGATGAGGTTTGGTCATATGACCCCATTCTCTGCCAATGGGCCCGAAGGGCATCAATGCTCGTCCCTCGTGCCATGTTTGCATGCTGTGTGTTGGAAGGAAAGATCATTGTTGCAGGTGGTTTCACCAATTTCAGGAAGTCGATCTCTAAGGCTGAGATTTATGACCCTGAGAAGGACACGTGGGTCCCCATGCTTGATCTCCATCATACTCATAATTCAGCATGCTCAGGGGTGGTGATTGGTGGTAAGGTGCATGTGTTGCATAAGGGGCTATCAACAGTACAAGTATTTGAAAATGCTGAGCACAGATGGGTAGTTGAGGACTATGGATGGCTGCAAGGTCCAATGGCATTGGTTCGTGGGGAGCTCTATGTGTTGAGCCATGGAGTTATTTTTAAGCAGGACAAAGAGCAAAGGCTAAGGAAGGTGGTCGCATCAGCAATGGACTTCCAGAGCAGAATTGGGTTTGCAATGATCGGGTTGCGGGATGAACTCTATGTCGTTGGTGGAGTAATTGGGCCAGGTCGTTGGAATGTGGACATCAAGCCACTATCTGATGTGGATGCTCTGATGGTTGGGACTGAGAGAGCAACTTGGCGTAGGGTGACACCTATGACACAATGTCATGGTACTATACTTGGCTGTACAGTGCTCAGGATTTAGTCAGGATGACGCTTCATTGTGAGAACTGATGTTGCAATCTTGTGGGTTTTAATCAGTCTCCAATTGGAACTAGGAAGGGAGAGGAACAGGGAGTGGACTTTTGGGTGTCAACTTCTGTTTTATTCGCAAACAATATTTTGGCATTTCTTCATGTTATGTGAGAGTTCTGAGAGGAATTGATGTTCAGTGAAGCTACAAGGTCGCTTAATTGGAACTGTTTAGAAAGAAATTAATAGATTGTTCTTTCTTTATTCTATATTCTAATTTCTGCCATCTCTCTGAAAAAAAAAATGAATAACGACCTTCCCTGGTATAAAAGCTGAAGCTAATGAATCAATTGTCTTGGTTAGTTTTATGCCATTGGGCATTTCAGTTAAAAGTCTTCCTTCACACTGCACCAATGGATAATCTTAGCCTTCGTTTATTTACATTTTACAGTATATAAAGGCACTCATCGATTGCATGTCCAGATTTAAGGCCCGCCCATTGAATGAATCCCTCCAAATGGAAGCTCTAGCCTGGAGAAGGTTCATCAAGAAGACAAACTGAACTTGCAATTTTTCGATGACTGGTACGGTATTGCCTTCCAATCTTTGGATGCTGTAATTAAGTTGGGTATAAGCCAGGACAAGACTAAGGGCCATGTCAACTTTGCATTTGTTACAGATTTACAATAGCTTATATTTGCATATGTACATAAAACAAATTCTTTAAAGCGCACATCCACCCACCCACCCAAAAGCCAAAACGGAGCCCCTGAATTGAGAACTGTGTAGTGGAAGGTGAGAGGGGAGAGGGAATGACAGTGGCTTGAGGGGGCCAGACCCCGTCTTGCTTGCATAGGTGGGGTGCACTCAATGTTGGATCTCAGTCGTAATCACATATATTTTCTGTAGAGAGAGCACTCTAGTTGACTAGTGAGACAGTGCAAGTGAGTAGTCTATGTATATATGTTTCACCAAGCCAAATTGCAAGGAATTACAACTTCCAGAATTTGAATCTTTTCTTTTAGGTTCCAAAATCTGTCTAGGAGCAACATGCAAATGCAATTTCCAAAATTTCAAATCAAAGGCTACTGTAATAAACAAGTTTCTGCATTTTGTGGCAGAAATACATTGCCCACAACTACCATATATGCAGAAGGAAAGAAAATGACCACAATGGAAATCCCATTTATATATATCTATATCTATATATATATATATATTATATGTTCATATTTGAAGTATTTTGATATTAAAAATTTAGGATGAAAAATTCAGCTTTTTTTTTTATACGTAATTTTTGTATGACATGTAAATCATGTGGCAACTTAGCTGGTAGGCTCTGATAAATTTTTGGCTTAGACTTGTGGTAGATTAGGTAGGCTCTGAAGTTCCATAGGCCTTAAAACTCATTACCAAATTAAAGGAAACCTTAACCTCATTACCCAAATTAAAGGAAAGAAGCAAAAGAAGAGAAGACGAAAGGAGAAAGCAGAGGAAGCCATTCTGGGTAGTGGCCAAGGATAGATGGGTGATGGTGATGCTTGGTGGGATGGACATAGAAAGGCAGAATCTTGGATATAAGTATATAACGTCTACGCTCCAACCCTGCTTCTAAATTGTACAGTTTATGAAATGGGGTGGCAGAACTGAAGAGGCAATTCCACACGATTCCAATTTCCAAAGTCAGTTTTTTGGCTTCATTTTTGAGTAAATTTCATAAATTAGTTGATTTAAAGCCTTCAAATTTACAATTTTTGTGGATTTAAAATTCTTGAAAGCTTAGACATTTGAATTTCCCAGAACTAGGCTCGAAATGGAATTGCATTCCAATTCCACTGAGAGTCCAGGCACAACTTTGGAAATTTTGCAATATGCTTCAAGCTTCATTCTTTATACCAAAAACTTTGACTTGTGCTTTACATACATGTTCATTATCAATTATCAATCTTGGCCTCGTGGGTCCCAAGAGTCTAGGATCACTACAATAGCAATCAAGAAGCAATTGCACAAATGGATTCTTATCAGTCTAGGCCCCACCCCACATGAAGCTATGTAAATTCCCTCTCTTTCCACACGCACAAACAGAACAAAAGAAAATGTATTATTTCATGTCAATATGTGGCTAGAAAGGCTTGATGTAGGAGCCCGGATCTCCTGAAAGCAAAATCCATGCCAACACCCTGAGAGCTAAAGTACAAACAGGCTCTGTAAATTGAAAACCCAGATTTATGGCCAAAGCCGTGTTTAATTCCCGCTTTTATATATGGAAACAAACGCAACCCATAGGAATTTTGTTGCAAATTGCAAGTATATCAATATTCTTGCTTTCTCTGTCTGCTACAGGGTCACAGCACAGACAAGCTTGAAGCTCTCAATGAATCGCCAACTTATAGGGGTGTTTGGTATGCTGTTGCGTTTTGGATTGATCAATACCACCAATTTGTGTGAGATTTTTCTAGCTGAAATGTGTGCGTTGAATATGTTTTGAGTTGATCTATACAAATTTGCTAACGTGTTTCAGGAACCTAGCTAGCAATTGTTAAACGGGACCAACCAACCAAGAACAATTCAATGATTCAAGATACATGAACAAACATTTATTCAAAATGTTGAGAGAGAGAGAGAGAGAGAGCTTGATTAAGATCACAAGATCCAGAATAATGGATGGAATTTGTTCTCAACTTCTCATGTACTGCAATCTCCACTCCCAAAACCCAACCTTCCCCCAGGCACATCATACACTACTTCTAATGTCTGCTGTTGTTTATTTCCAATGATGGCCGCTTTTCCCGGGTCGTCATTCCCAGCAAAAGCCAAGCATACTCGAGATAGGCCATCGGTGACAATTATCCCCGGCAACCCCAAGTCAATGCCGGCACCTCCTTCAAAATGCAGCATGATTTTAGGTATGGCCACAATGTTGAATCCGCTCAGGTCATAGCATGTGTCGAATAGAAAAACTGCTGAAGCAGACGGGTAATTCAACATTGCCTGCCGGAAAGCTGATCGGAGAGCCGCATAGGCCGAAGGCTGGAGGCGAGTGATGACAGTGCCAGTGTCTATGATGGTCCCAGAAGAAGTAAACACTGTTGATGGGATAGTCAATCTCCGACCCCCAACACTTATCCCTACCAGTTTGATGAAATAGAAGGATGGCCTACGCGAGTCAGTCAACAGTGGTGTATACAAGAGAGAGGAAGAGGAGGCTCCAGCTTGGTCCCCAAAAGCAAGGTACCCGGTGGAGCTCGACGTGGGCGGGAGACAGTATGAGAAGATTCTTCCGAACTTGGCCGCTGTCTGAGAAACCAGAGACACCTTGCTGCGTCCCAGGCCGAGGATCCCGGCTGTCGCATCGAGGTTCCCGCCGTTGTCTTGGCCACAACCAAATATGAAGTTGGGGAACACGTCCGAGCGTGTCAGTGCTAGCTTTTCTCGTGCAAGGAGTCCGCTCGAGTAGGAGTTGTCGGCGTACTGGATGATATACTTGCAGAGGGAGGTGCAATTTGAGGACTTGGAGCTTTGTTTGGAACACCGGGTGGAGCTGCATCGCAGGTTGGAGTAAGAGGACGACTTGGATGGGTTGAAGATGGGTTCGGATTGTTGATAGCAGTGGCTACATGGAAGGCATTGGATCCAAGTGAGGTCACTACCAGTGTCAAATACCAGAGTGAGATGTTGCTTGGGAGTGCCAAAGCCGACTGTAACTACGAAGTTCCCTGTCCCCAAAGAGCGGCCGGACTTGGCCGGAAGCCTGCTGCTACTGACCTTGGAATCTTGTAGAGCGTCTCCTGTGGAGAGTGCAGAGTGGATGGAATCGACTCGTTCTTGGTCCTGGATGAAGAATTGTTCAGAGCTGAGATCTGTTGTCTTCTCATGGCCTAGTGGAGAGCAGGGTCCACTCCTGTGAACTACTTGCAACAGTCCAGGGCGCTTTGCACCTGAAAAAGATCAATGGAAGATAAAAGAAAAATCTATTATCCCATGTAATTAAAGCTCTGAAATCAACCCCCCCCTGTAAAATACATGTATAATTCCAAGGAATTTTGCTTTAACTGGCAATACAATCCAGTCCAGCCCAATGAGTCCATTGCTATCCCTAGTTTTCCTAGCGAAGCAAAATTTGCAATGATACAAGTATACAACAATGAATTGGACCCTGAATTTCATAAATTCCATTCCTGATATTAAGCTAGACTAAAATTGGAGACCCTATAGTCCCTAAACATAAAACATTGATTAGTATAAAGTATAATGGGTTTTGCATGGAAAATTCATCTCATTGGACGATTGCAGCAGCTGAATAACTTTTCTTGTTTGTCTTGGATGGTGAAAAAACCAGTCTGTTATAATAACTCTACAAATACCCAAGAAATCATCAGATAGTAAAAGTAAATAATGTCTTAATTCAGTCATGATAATTTTCAGCGAAGCAGCATTAAATGGTGGGCCTAATTTGTATATCGCATGTATTAATCAATGGTTGAGGACTCAAGATAAAGTCAACCATTTTAGCTCGAGAATTTTAGAACCATTACTCTTCAAAACAAATAAGGTTAGGTTGTTTGGATAAGCTTCGGGATTTGTGCTTTTAAAACCCAAAAACGCAAAGTACAGTCCGAATTTTATGCTTTGTTTGGGGAAACGGGGCTTGGCTTTAGATTGTTATACTTTCCTTTCCTTAGGCTGTACTTGCTTTGATAGAAAATAAGAAAGAAACAGAAAGTTGAGGGAAAAGTTCTTACAGGGCGAAGTTCAAAGTTGCTTCAGAGCTTTCCAACCTTCAACTTTCCATTTCTAACTTATTTTCAACCAAGCTAAACCAAATATATCCTAATTGAACATCCTAATTGCACAACTGCTGCGTATAATGGGAAGCTGTATTATGTTAGCTACTAGGTCTAGAACAGGTTCTAGCTGTGAAAGAGGAAAAAAGTAACAATTTACCATTGCCTGAGTAGAATGTTCACCTTTGGAAGATGAGGAACAAACCGTTGTTGGTAGCAAAGAATTGACCCCAATGACATGGTGATGGCTCTGTTCTGTCACTCCTCCATTGGCAGCTACCCCATTTGAACAAGATAGCAAGAGAAGAAGAGATTGGGAGAAGAAGAAGTAGGTAAGGAAGAAGGGAGGGTTAGCGGCCATGGATGGATGGTGGTTTATTGCAAACTCGGCCTTACAGAGAGGCTGGGGGATGATCAAGAAGAAGGAATATATAGGAGGGATGGATGATGGATCTTCATTTCTTTGGCTTTGGACCAGAGAGTGCCACTGGTGCCATCCTAATAGCTATAGTCCTTTTGTACGTACTCAAATAAAGGAGGCTATTTAAGATGACTTCAACCGACACCTACCCATGTCCTATGGGCCGTTGAGTAGTCAATTTTTGGATGGATTTCAAGTTCTCAGACCCAGCCCGGAAAGGGAGACGGAATTTTGAACCCGGTCCAAATAAGAATATAGCTAGAGTTTGATTTGAGTATCTCATGGATGAATACTGCTATTACTACCTACGTTGCAAAGTTAGTGTGTGCCACTGTGTTGTGTTAAGTAACGGAAAAAAATATGGAGAAGTACGGATAGGCCCAATGTAGATTTTTGATTTCCATTGTAAAATTATAAACATTCAAAAGGTCAAAAACTCATATTCTATGCATTCATATTTGCCTGTGAATTGGCATCAATTCCAAGTTGGCACTTACCCAAAATGTATTTTAAGCTTACAAATTCTGACTCTAGGCTGAACCATCATTCTCCCAAAAAAATATGGCCTTTGTATCCAAATTCATAGCTTCTAAATATTTCTATTATAGTCTTTAATTTTTAGAGCCCGGATTAGCTGCACTTGACAATGGGTTGGTCCGGTTAGACCCAGGTTGACCTGACCCTATAAAGTTGGGTTATGGGTCAGGTTTATTTGGGTGTAGGGTTTTAATGCTTCAATCCACGTTGGGTTCGGGTTTCTCTGTTTCAGCCAGCTGGGTAATGATGCCCTACATATATGTAGGGTATTGTTCTGATTTCTAAGCTCATAATCTTAAATTTTATGATGTATTTTTGTTTTTTTTTTCATATTATGGAGGAATTGACACCTTAGGACCTATAAATCAAGGTTTTAAAAACCTACCCGTAAATAGAATCGTTTTGGTCACTAGTTTTTAGGTCAACGGTTTGACCATCCGGATCAAATGGTTCACGCAATTTAGTCTATTATTCAGAGAAAGAGAAATATGGTTGTCAGCACTTGGCTGAAAAAGAAAGAAAGAAAGAAAAGAAAAGAAAGGAAAGAGAGAAAAGGAGGGAGAGAAAGAAAGGAAAGAGCATGGTTTTAAAAAACTACCTGGAAACGAAACTGTTCTGGCCATCGGTTTTTGGGTTGAGGTTTGACCATCCGGTTCGAACGAATGACCCGTTCTGACAACAAAAATTGAAAAAAGGCCAAAAACCATTGAACGGATTGACGGGTCGACGATTCGACTGTCCGAGTCAATGGGCCGGTTGCCTAGATGGTTCCCAGGCTGAACGGTCCAACCATTCGGGTCAACGACGGTAGGGAAGGACCCTACCGAGTAAAGCAGGTGCTCGGGGAAGGAACATACGAGCTCGAAACCCTAGAAGGGAAACAAGTACCTCGGGCATGGAATATTGTCAACTTAAGGCAATATTACCTATAAATTACTGTGTAGACCACGAGTCACTCACAGAGCCTAAGGGCCAAAATGCCAAGCTAACAAAGACATCGGCTCCATAAGACCTAGTCGCCTCTATGGCATGGGCGAACTCTAGGAGAATGGACTATAAGTCACTCTCCCGGCTTAAGGGCTGAAACGCCGAGCTAACGAAGACCTCGGCACCGTATAAGACCTAACCGCTTTATCGGCATAGGCTAAGTATTAATATTGAAGGCATAGACAGCTCGAGTGAACCCTCTGATGCGTGGCTTGCTTTGGTATACAAGTTGAACCCATTAAGGGGATTTAACTCTAACATTATAAAACTACCCCAAGTACTGGGGAACAATTTGGGGTAACAATTACCGAAAGACCCTACTTCAGGTATGTAGCTCTAACAGTTCGAGTGATAAAGTCGCTTCGGTAGAAAGCAAAGAGCATAGCACTTAGAAACAAAAATGGGAATACTTCATTTCCAGCTCTAAAAAAAAACAACAACAACAAAAACAAATGAACAAAAAATAAAAGCAAGGCCTAACAACCTGAGACAGTTCATCAAAAAAGAAAGAAATACATAGAACCGGGTCCAGACACCCGAGATCAACCATTCCAGAATCAGAAGAAAAAAGAGCAACAACCGGCCTCAAGGTTTCGCCGCCTCCATGTCCTCGTCGTCCTTCGGAGAGTCGGGCTCCTCCTCCTCCGCCATGTCCGCTGTCTCTGGGGCCAGACCCTTCATCGTTATGCCTTCAAGGTTGAGCCCGGAGAAGAACTTCTAGACTAGCCATCGGCAAAGTTTGAATCTCGAACGCAAGGCAAGTTGGTGCCGGCTGCACGTCTTCCGAAACTGACAGCCGCTTGGCGCGCTTTTTGGTGCCCAAAAATCACCTGACGTCTGCGAGTGTCTTTAATGCGGTCAGTCAACGCGGTTTGAACCACGGGTCAAATCCTCCTGCCACTTCATGAACTCCTCGTGCAAAGAGTGAGACCCTTAGCCCGAGGAGTGGGGGGCAATTGATGGAGGGTGAATTGACCCGACCTCCTAAGCAGGCGACACGTGGACATGACTCAGCATAAGCAACAGCTCAGCATGACAGCCTCGTTACAACCCGATGTAACGAGCTCGCTGAAACCCTCGCGGGTCAGCTTGCTACATAAACAGCTCGCTGCGGAACAACTCGCTACAAAGCGAGCTCGAGCTCACTAGTGTGCTGGACGAGGAACACTCCAAGCTATTTCAGCTCGCAAGCTTGGACAATTAGCTCGCTCCAACCCTTTGGTAAGGCCGCTTCAAAGGCCTCAGGCGGAATCACCTCGGGACGCCCCAACAGCTCGCTATTAAGTGATGCGGCGTCCTCAGGAAGCTTCTTATCTAACAAGACCGTACCCGTCAGACTGCACCCACGTCTCTTGACTGACGGTGCAGTACCTGCCAGCCCAGCAGGCTGTGCCCACGTCTCTCGATAGGCGGCGACGTGTCTGTCCTTCCCGGGTCACGTCTCTCATCCGATTGGGTCAGTACCCTGCAACGGTTACTTGCGCAGCCCTGGCGAATAACGGCTGCGACAGAGGGCCAGTGAAGGTTACACCCGATTTGACAGAACAACCAGTATTTAAGGACCCCGATTTCCAAGGGATGGGGGTAATTGAACTGATATAGCGCTATCTGCACTCTCAGCTCTCTTTGCATTTCCTACAGCTCTCAGAGTTCTAACTTAAGCATCGGAGTATTCACACCGGGCGAGCTCTCCGGGAATCCTTCACCTTCCTCTTCTCAGGTACCGTCCATCGCGAGGTAGGAGCCAGGCGTCCACAAGGTAGGAGTGCCCGGATCGCATTGCATCATAATCTATGAACTTTGTGCGTCAATTCGGCCTCTTTATTGTTTTTTTCCCGACTCAGAAACAGAACAAGAAAAGTTGCCTTTCGGGAGTTGTCGGTTTCTTTGCTCGACCTGTTGTGAAGGCGAACGGTGAGCCAGCGTATTCGTATAGTCGTACCACAGAGACAAGGAGGAGTGCATGAAAGAAAGAGGAGCCATTCATGAATTGTAGTTATGATAGATCAGTGAAAACCCGGTTCAGAATCCTGACATTTCTTTTCGAATTGTGAATTTGTTAGGTTAAAAATCAAGAAGGGGTAGCTAATTTTGATGACGATTTGCAAACTCTGATGCATTTATGTGGGGATCTGGGAATGGAAATTCCAATTGATGAGAAGATTTTTGTAGCACAAAAAGTGGTGATCTACAAGTGCAACATGCAGGGTAAACCTGTACTGACTGCAACTCAAATGTTGGAATCTCTATGATCAACTCGAGCTAAAGGCACCGGTGTTGCCAATGCAGTTGTTGATGATTTGATGGCACAGACTGTAATGTTTAGTAGGGAAACAACTGCTGGTGCTTACCCTCAACTTGCTGTATAGACAATGGCTAGATCTTATTATCATCGCAATCGTCGTTTGTTGTTGACTTGTGGCAATTTCTGGGGCATTTCCTTGATTTTTGGAGCGACCAAGTATCTGGGTGTTTTGTCATTGATGGGGGCGGTTTCTTTTTGTAATGGATGGCCACCATCGATAAATAGTTTAAGAATTATTCGATTGGATTGGTGATTTAAGAGAAATTAAAAAGGGTTTTTTAAGAAAAAGGGGCAATGAAAAGAAAATACAGAAAGTTCTTATGGGTACTTTGATAATTTAATATATTTCATTATCTGACTTGACGGTTAGAGAGTCTTTGTCTAATGGTTAAAGTTTGGGGGGGCCTTTGTTGCAAAAAAAGTGCAGGGGTCTTTGAATTGTCACTGATCCCATAGTACAGGGGATTCTTTTTAATTTACCCTTTATTTTATATATAATATTTTCTTAATTTTCTTATAATTTTTATCATATTTTATATGTTTAAAATAATAAATTTCATAGATGATAAATAAGATGATATCAGTTAAAAATGATAAATAATATATAAATAATTTAGTATTTTTCTATCACTTTTATTAAGGTTATATTATCAAAATTTCAAATTTAAGTAACTATTTAAATAAACAAATAGAGCCAATAGACCCAGCTATATTTGTGATGATTTTGTCCTGATTAATAATTGGTTTAGGACTGATTCTACTTAGACCGGCCCATTGACAGACCTAATGAGGTCCATTATCCTTATCACATATAACTTGCATGTTTGATCCCATGCCTCTATATTTGAAGAGACATTAAGTAACCATCCCAACTACTAGGTCATTGGCAAAATTTATTCAAACTTTATAGAATTTTCATCCTATTGTGTTTGTGACAAATGCTCTTCGGAACTCGGATTGCATTGAAGCATAACTAGTTATTCAATGGGGAGGGGGCTTTCCTGTTATTGCACATTTTCATTTATATTTTGGGTAAATTGTTAAAACCTTACCTAAAGTTTTTGACTATAGCTGAAACCTCCCCTAAAGTTTAGTAATTATAATGACCTTCCTTGAATTTTTTAATACAGTTGCAAGTAGACCCCTTTTGTTAGAATCCTCTAACAAGAGGTTAGGGGTGGCTATGAGCCGAGCTTTTCACGAGCTACTCGAGCTCGGCTCGGTTTCAACCGAGCTTTGAGCCGAGCCCGAGCCTAATTTTTTGGGGTTTTTACCGTTCAGTCCACCTCTGAAATACTAGCTCCATCGTATAGTTCAGGGTAGGCGCCAGCTCGGAATTGATGGCAATTCATGGGCAGGTATGGGTGTTATAGGTGGAGTTGTTTATAAATTTCAATTGTTGTAGATTTGCAATTCAAATCAGAGTTATGAGGTGGAGTGCAGTGCAAAAATCCCTTAATTTTTAAAATATCAAATAAAAAATATAAAATAAAACATTTTTTCTCAAATCGAGCTCAAGCCGAGCTGAGCCGAGCTCAAGCTTTCGAGTTTTTGACTCGAGCTGAGCTCGAGCTCAAGGTTCTAGCTCGAACCGAGCTCGATTTCGAGCCTTGTACTACCTTGGCGAGCTGAGCTCGAGCTTTGTACTATTCGGCTCGGCTCGTCTCGAAACCAACTTTGAGGAACAGAAATGTCCAAAATACCCATGCAATTTATATTGAGGCTGGTTTTTACAAAAAAAAAAAAAACAATACAAATTTTATAAACAATAGAAAATGGAGAAATTAAAATTGCAACTTTACCTTTGAGCGATTGATATGAAGAAAAATTTGAAAAAAAAAATCAATTTTAGAAAATAGATTGGAAGGGTTTGGGCTAGAGACTCATATGAAGAAAAATTTGAAAAACAAACATTTTGATAAAAAATAACTGCATGAGTACTTTGGACATTTTCATGCCTCTTTTTAGAATATCCTAACAAAAGGAATCTATTTACAACTATGTTAAAATATTCAGGGAGGTGATTGTAATTACCAAACTTCAGCAGAGGCTTCCGCAATGGTGGAAAACTTTAGGGGAGGTTTCAGCACTTTACCCTTATTTTTTTAATGAGGATTCTCTGATCGGAGATGCCTGAGCCCATGTTTGAAAATAAGGGAAATCTCAATTGGTTTAAAAGAATAAATGGAAATTTTGGATTACTTTCCCTTGCTACATTTCAATTTTTGGCTGTTTGAAATGAATAGAAATTAGTAGTCTAGCTTTGTGTAGAAAAGAGATGTTTTGCATATTTAAAATGAAAATAAAGACACGACTAATAACTTATTTGATAGCGACAAACAACATTATAGCTTCTCTAATATTGTCCAGTAATTAAAACTGCAACAAGAGATTTGCTTGTGGCCAGAAATTAGAAACTGTAGCTTTTAATTATTTTTGGAAAAGTTGTTAAATCAAAAGTGACAGGAATTCTTCCAAAGTGATAACTACCCTGTCTCCTTTCTGAATATGTAATAATGCAACTAAGGCCGGCTCTGTTTGTTTGCAGTGCACTTTATTTGCATCTATTTGTTTGTACCTTTGATTTACATATTTCTACTTGATACAAAATTTGTGTTTCTTGTCTATTGACAGCGTAAGTTTTGCATCCTAAAAAACTGTGATGTAAAATCTGTACTACATAACTCCTGTCTTAATTCTCTACCATATCATCCTGCTTCCTATCATATTCCAAACAAATAATCCTCGTAACTTTGTTTTATCTGTTTTGTTTAATATAAAAAAGTGACAACTTCATTTTACTTTCTATTTTTTTTTTTCTCACAAAGAAACAAATCAGTTAAATCCGAAGGTTCTGTTTGAAAAGAGTATAAATATAAATACATACAAAATACAGATTTTCGCACTCTACATATTTGTATTTATGCTCTTTTCAAACTGAGCCAAAACAAAAATAAGGAGAATTTAGACTTACCCTATTTGTGCTTCCGTGCATTTACAGCCTCAGTTTGGAAGAAGTACAAATATAAATATGTACTATATAAATACATATAAAATAATATAAAATATAGGATTTTGCACTCTACAATTTGTGTTTGTACTCCTTCCAAACTGAACCTAAATGAAATTTGCACTTTAAACAAACAAACTGAACAACTGAATTAAAAATTTCCATGATTCATAACCTGTTTTTTTTCCTGAACTAGAGAACTTGACCACTTTTTGTTTTTTATTTTTTTTATAAAGAAAACCAAGATATCTCAAGTTCAATTGAAGAAATGGGGGTGAAGTAATGAACCACAATCATCCCGTGTAAAAATCTATATTCAAATTACTCGATTAAAATTAAATCTAGTTAATCATGTGGTTTTAATGAAGCAAAAGGAAATATCTTGAACTAGTTTCTTGTGGCCACTACCCACTTCCCTTCCAATTGCATTTATTTTTTGCAAATTTGAAATCATTACATAAATTGTTTATACGGCTGAAGCTAGTCTTTTGTTTATTTGTAGTTATCTTCCTAAAGTTGGAGGAATGAAGAGGTAAACCCCATTAAACCCTTAATTTAATTTAGCTGCACCCTCCAGCCCCAAATCCCAGCTTCCCTCCTGCTACATCATAAACCACCTCGAATGTCTTCTGCTGCGTATTCCCCAGAATGGCCACACTGCTGGGACTGCTATTTCCAGCAAAAGCCAAGCAAAGCTGGGATGAGCTTGCCAAAATAACAATCCCAGAGGCATCCACATCAAGGTCCACCCCTCCTGCAAAATGCAACACGATCTTCGGTATCCGTATCGTGCTCTGTCCACCCGGGTTAAAGCATGTATCCAAGATTGAATACGATGGAGCAGATGGGTAGCTGGATGTTGCTTGCCGGAACGCCGAACGGAGGGCCGAATAGGCCGCCGGTGGAAGACGGGTGATGACGGTGCCGGAATCTATGATGGTTCCGGAGGACGTGAAAACAGTTGTTGGGATTGACAGTCTCTGCCCTCCAACGCTTATCCCATTTAGAGAGGCGAAATAGAAGGACGGTCCACGAGAGTCTGTCAATAGCGATGTGTATTTCACGCCGGAGGAAGAGGTGCCTGCTTGGTCCCCAAATGCCAAGAACCCAGTGGAGCTACTTACTGGTGGGAAACAGTAAGAGAATTTTTTACCAAATTTTGTTGCAGACTGAGACACCAAGGATACGGGGTGGCGTCCTAGGCCGAGCAACCCTGCAGCACTGCCGAAGAGCCCTTCATTGTCTTGCCCACACCCAAACTGGAAGTTGGGGAAGACATCAGAGGAGGTTAGTGATAGCGTATCTCGTCCGAAGTATCCGATGGAATAGGAACTATCGCCGTATTGGATGGCATAGATGCAGGTCGACCTGCAGGAGGGGGAGTTGCCGGTGGCGGACTTCAACTGGGCGCACTCGGCGGAGCCACACGAGATGTTGGAGTAAGTGGAGGAGGTGGGGGGGTTGAAGATTGGCTCGGTTTGCTGGTAGCAGCTGACGACACAGGGTTGGCATTGGATCCAAGTGAGGTCGCTGCCGGTGTCAAAGACGACGCTAAGATCTCGCTTCGGCGTGCCAAATCCAACAGTGACGACGTAATTTCCGGTTCCAAAGGAGCGGCCGGACTTGGCCGGGATTTTAGCCTTGGAATCTTCTACGAGCTGCTGTTGGGAGATTGTGGATTGGATGGAGCGGACTCGCTGCTCATCTTGGCCAAGGATTTGGCTGAGATTGTAGCTTCTGGTCTTCTTCTGTAGGTCCAGTGGTGAACATGGCCCATTTTTGTGAACCACTTGCAGCGTTCGTGATCGACTGGAACCTGAAATCATGAAATGCAGAAATGGTATTATTACCTTCAAATTCAAATTATTTTATTTTTTGTCTCTCTTTCTGGCTTCTTCAGACTTTGATATTGACTGGGGAATCGTTTAAAAAAGGTTAATTGGATGATGATGGTGGAGCATTGCACATGGTTGAGACTTGACAGCCCAAGAGGGGCACATGAGTCATGACATGATCATGGTCCAGTCAGTCTTTGGAATTCGGTCTCTCTCACATGGGTATATATACTGATTGAGTCCAAAACTTAAAATGACGTGGACGGTTAATATATTGGCCAATCAGGACAATTGTGCAGTTGTACTGATAATACTGGGGTTAATCAGTAGGAACAGCATCAGCTATTTACATGTGGGACCTATTTGTCAGACTGACACCTGGAGTATCATGATTGGCCTATAGACAGACAGACGATTGAGACCCATGATCGACCAAGAGTCCAAGAGGGTTGATGATCTGTGAACAGGTCGAGACTTGTATGGACTTACCCTTTGTATCCTCTGTTTATTTTTGTTTGTGTTTAATGAAAGAATTATCTTGTTTACGATAAAAAAAAAAAAGACCAGGTCTAAGCAGAGATGGAGATTGATATTGACTGAAACGGGTCTTGCATTAGAGGGAATTGAATGATCGTCTGAACAAGCAAATCCTGGCAAGTTATGAGGGCCAGAAGCTCCAACTACATGTTCTACGCCCAAAGACGAGAACCTTCTTATCTGGCGGAATCCACCCATAGTATTATTATTAGTACTGACTGAGATTGTATGTTCGATTTCTTTTTAATTTATTGTGTGAGAGAAGGATTATATATCCGATCGACCAGTAAACCTCAAATTAGTGGTTTAGCAGAGAATGCAATAAATTGAAGGAGAACATTTAATTTCTTGCACCCATCACGGAAGGAAAATGATTAAGTCGTAATTATATAAGAGAGGTCATTGGGTGTAAGAAGAAAGAGAAGATTAATTGATAATAAGGAGTTTGACCCAATCCTAATATGAGAAGGTTAGCTGCTCATCAATTAGCCTGCTTAAAATCAAACAAATCCATAATTAAATAGAAGGCTTTCGAAAGGGGATGAGGAGGAGGAGGGTGTCTTAATTATCAATATATTTTTCACATCTATAAGAAGAGCAAGATAGATATACAGAAGAAGTAGGAAACATATATATTCATGATGAGCAAAGTGTAAATCACCTTTTAGGGAAGGGGAGCAAGTTGATGCAGGGATCAGTGAATTAACCACAATTACATGATGATGTTGGTTGTTTGCCGTCTGTCCTCCAGAGGCCTCGACCAGCCTATAATTATTACAAGAGCCCAAGAGAAATAGCAAAAGAAGAGAAGAAGAGAGGAGGAAACAAAAGAAGGGATGAGTACGGGTAATGGCCATGGATATGCTTGATTCCCTTCTGTTATTGCTGTTACTTATTGTTGATGGACTATATATATATATGGAGAGGAAGGAATCTTCATCCGGCCATTTTGTCTTGAGGCAAGGACAACGGAAGCAGCTTCCCCCCATTTCCTTAGTGAATGCAACCCCCAGATTAACAGTACAAATGGGTCCCCCCCCCCCCCAAACGAGGTACTTATGAGTTATATATACAAACTACAAAGACTAATTATGTACTATAATAGTGTTTAAACTTTGTATTGGGTCCAGATTCCAGACCCCAAATCCACGACTAATGATCAATTAATATTTGATCAGATTCTTTCCCACCATGGTCATTGGTCACCCCACTCAACCACACTCTCATAATTGATTCAAGTAGGTCGATTTGCGCCAATCTAAGTCTAAGGGACCACCCAATTGTCGTGGCTCACGTAGCAGTTGATCAAGCTAGCGGGTCTCACGCCGTCACGCGTGACTCCGGGCCGTAACACAAGCCGTGAAAATTATTGGTTGGTATTTTCTCTCTCTTTCTCTCAATCACTATTGATTGGGCATTGCTGTATGGCGCAATCCATGGTTGGTGCTGGCTTGTGTAAACACGGTTGAGATGGATGATGATGACGGAAGTGTTAGCTCGGGCGTCATTCTCAACGTTTGCTTGTCCCTTACGTTGAGTCGTTGTAACTTATGATGATGATTATTATTTGGAAAGTGAAAATTATCATTATTTCATATATGGAACAATTGTAGTTGGTAGAACATGTCCCTCCATAATATTTTGTCTACATCTCTATTATATCAATTATATACATATATATATATATATATATATTAACCTAGCTATTACTCCAATTTACTAATTTCAGTTATATAACCATAACTTACACGTTGAGAGAGAGAAAGAGCTGATTAGCTGAATTCATTTGATGATGGCTGTGCATGTGGGAGACGCATGGCTGGCGTTATTAATTATTGGTCCCCACATGTATGATCAATTTCAGTTAATCCGTTCTCGTAGGATTGCTACCCACACCCTACTCATAAGACAATACAGCCGTCCATCAAGAACATCTTTAATCTTGTGGGGGACCAGCAGGTAGATTTCGGACTTGGTGGATAAATGCAATAGGGAATCTCAATCAACACTGGCTACGTACATAGGGAATCCCTAGTAAGGAAACTGAATTATGACATCAAATTAAATTGTAAGTTGTTAGTGAACGACATCAAATTTAATTATAAGTTGCAGCGATATAGAATGGATTGTTTTTTGGCCTAAATGATGTCTTCTTATGCAGGACCCATCCACTGACATAAATTATTGCAAACCCTACCAAAAAGGCTTTTTGATAATTGGCTAATAAATAAATGCTCCTGCCGATCAAGATATATATATTTCCAAGCTTTACAAGAAAAGAAAAACAAAAACAATGAAGTTCACAACATACGTAGTGGCTGTGTAGAGGCCTAGAGGACTGTATAACTAATAAAACGCCTCTCACACACTAGTCACTCATTTTAAGTAATTTTATGTATTTTATGATTGGCGTAAGGCATTGTCATTGTTGTGGGGCATAAGTGCGCAACATTTTATAAATGGCTGATGTGGGGCATTATAATAAGTTATATAGTCAATTAACCATTGACTTCGGCTAATCTAGGCTCTGTATTTTCAGTTAATTTACATTTCTAAGGTACCTACAGCAGCGTACGGTATCTAGCTAGAATCCCGTGAAAGTATCAGTTCATTGGTTATCAATTTCTTAGATAGAGCATACCTAATTATTCCGGTACAATAGCAGCTGCTATAGTAGTGTGCTGCTTATGTGCATACCATTATGTATATTCATATTTAATTTATTTTGATGTCGACATAGCAGTTTTTAAAATATTAGTAAGCAAACATATTCAAACATCTTGCTTATAAATTACATAAACAGTGTAAAACCTTGTATTTTGAATTATTTTGCACTGTTTTCAAAATTGGATTGGACCGGATGGTCGGACTGGAAAAAACCGGGAATCGGTCTTTCGTTTTTCTTCAAAACCGTTTTTTTTTTCTTAAAATCATTGATTTTGGTCAGCAAATTGCTGAACTGGCCGGTTAATTATTTGAACTGTTTGAACGGTTTTGACCGTTTTCCAATTTTTTAATTTTTTTTATTTTTTATCAGGACGGGCCGATCGTTCGGGTCAAATGGTTGAACCGTTCAAACCGATAACCGAACCCCTAACCGGTTCGTTTTTAAAAAGCATGCTATTTTTTATATATTTACATTGTATATATTTGTATTTGTAATCTTTTCAAGCTAAGACTGAGTGACAAAAATGCAACGTGTTAGGATTAAAACAGCAAGAAATTAAATAGTCTCCTTGGTTAAGCCAAGAGGCGCAAGACCACATTCCACTAAATATCATATTGGGGTAAGTTAGCTACTTACGCATTTCTAATTCTTATTTTTTTTTCATTATTTTCTTGTTGGATTGCTTTTTTTTTTTTTTATTTCTAGTTTTGCTTTTTCCCCATCTTGATCAAGGAATCTCTGACATGGAATAAAAAAAAATAAAATTATTTCTTCATGTGTGTGTGGATCCTATGTATTTGGAGTTTTAATTGGACCGTTACCATGTGGTTGATACTTGCCAAGACAACTTAACCTAACACGTCTGGCTGATATCGTAGTGCCAAATACTGGGCTCAGTATGACCAAACAGAATTCTTGTGAGTAGGGGATTCGAAGTCATTTCCTTGCCTTTTTACCAGTATGAACCCTTTTTGTCAAAAAAAAAAAGGAATATGTACTTCTGAATCACTTACCACTATATAAATGCTTAAATAGCTATTAGAGATGGCTATACTGAAGCTAAAAGGGTTAGCAACCTGTCTCATGATTGCAAAGAAGTCAAAAGAATCACTTTGATCTCATAGAGTCTTCCTTTTCTTTAATTTGAACACTGGAAATTGATTATATTACCTAGAAAAGTATCAATTGAAATAGATTAAAGTGTTCCCTGAATGTGTATTTTTTCTAACTTGGTAATATAACATTGAAATGAATCTCTAGAAAAAAAAAATTAGGAATCTTTTGAGATACTGAATTCCTCACCGGTTAGTCAGATCTCTAGGTGGGCCGTTAGAAAGTGGAGGAGACTGACCTTAGACTCATAGGAGTTCCCTAGGCTAGCCTCGGGAGGCAGGACGTCGGTTGTGTCTTGTTGATGTGGGATGGAAGTAAGTATTTGTTGGGCTTTTAGTGGGCCCATTTGGGTCGATGACAATGACTCCACTAAGGCTGCAGGCTTGGTTGTGTTTGGGGGATTAAGAATCGCTATCAAAGCTGACTCAGCAAACACTATCAATTTGTTGGAGAAGCAAGGGGAGTGGTGCTATTTTTTCCAAGAGCTAGGGAGATGAATCCCCAGGGAGCTGAACGCTGTGGCGCATGATGTAGCCAAGCCTTTTATTTTAGTAAAAGGATGGTTAGTCAATTAGGCTGTTTTCTTTTTTCTTTTTTTTTTTTTTTTTGTTTCAGGTACATTTTATCTATTGTTGTACAATTTTTATCCTTGATGATGATGATGATGAATCACCTGATCAGATGGCTGAGATTTGGTAAGGACATACACATATGGGACTCATTCGTTGGTTGCTCTCAATCCCTTTATCTCCACCTGAACCCGATCGAATGGAGAGGGGATACCGAAACCGCCCTGGCCCACCTGGCCCACTTCATGTAAGGTGGACCAGTATTAGTGCGGTTTACCACCTAACCCGACCCATTGACATCCCTTGGACAGTTTGGTTTATCACGTTAATCATGTAGTTCTATTTGGAAGGACTACAAATATAAATATGTATAGCAAAAAATCTTGTATTTTGTATTTATTTATATTATGTATATTTATATTTGTACTATTTTCAAAATGAACCGTACAAATACATATAAAATAATGCAAAATATATGATTTTGCGTTTTATATATTTGTATTTATATTCTTTCTGAACTGAGCCATAAATACTAAATACAAAAAAAACAGTAAAAGGAATTAAAATATGGGTAAAAGGTAAAATCGATGGGCGACATGGATTGAGAAACAGGTAAGGAAGAGGGATTACAAAACAGTTAATTAAGCATTCAAAGTTTCAAACAATAATAGTAACAAACAAAAATTAATATGTAAATTGTTTTACTTCAAAGGTGCTAGCTAATTAATCCATAAATCTTCAACATGACAACATACTCATCAAGAGCCCCATGTATATATACTCCTGGTTTCAATTCTTGCATAAACCAAGTTTTAGACCAATCTTTCAAGGTGTAAATCAGGCTGTGCCACCTGCGATCCGACATGATATTGGGCTGGTTTGGCATGGCCTGGCACAACGGACTATAGGCCATGTCGAGCCTGGGGTTTTAGGTTTATGGGTCGATACGGTACGGCATGATCAAGTGGGCCATGATGCCTGTGGCCCATATATTGGCATGACCCAACACGACTCATATATATTATATAGGAAAATTTATGATGCGGGAAAGATATGGTATAAAAAGAGTTTTGACCAATCAAAATCCACCCATGAATTTTAATAAATAACATCTTTTTTTCTATCATGTTTATGATTCTAGTTTATTGGTCAATTGTTTTTCAGATATCATATATTTTTCATATCATAGTCAAACCCATTTTATATATAATATATAATATGTATATATAAATAATTGTATACATCAATATTTATATAAAATATAATTTTAATATTTTTTTTGAACTTTTTGTCAATCATTTTAATTTATCTTAAAATTTTCATTATTCTTTTTCAAAATTCTTAAGAGGCATGACTTGACTTTTCATTATTCTTTTTCATTTCATTGACAGACTATCTTTTGGAGAGGAATCCAATATAACAAAAGCTTTAAAATTGGATGGAGCAAACAATTATCAAGATATTAGGGTCTAAATAATGGCCTGGACCTACTCTCCCATTAAAGTATTGATCTGAAATTGACCAAGTTATGCTCGGTGAATTTCAGATATGGGCGATGAGGAGGAGTCGGGCAGTGG